TTTTTTTTTATTTTGTGTAGTCATATTTGTGATTACTTATTCTTAAAATGTTTTTACAGAAATAATGCATACAGCTACAAGTTCTGGAGAAGACCCCAGAAAACACAGTGAGAGGTATGTTTTAGAGAATTCTGACGGTATTATTGTGTGGAAAACTGTTGCTGATAGGAATGTCGATTTAAAAATGGTGGATACAACTCTTTGGAACACTTCGCCAGTAGAAGTACCTAAATCCTTGACGCGGAGACCGTCGCAGTGCAGTGAGGATATTGTCAAAGAAATATACATGGATATTGACAATCCAGTGTCTAATATGTCGTTAGAGTCAGGAGAAATCTTGCCATTTGATGAAGAAGTCAATATGACTGATATGAGAAGAGTACCAAATGAAAGTGGTACTCGGAGATATGACCAAACCACTGACACCGAATTGATGAAGCCAAACAAAAATGCTGACAATAATAGTTTATCCAGATATAAAATCCCAAAAATAAAAGGTGACAAAGATAACCGATCTTATACTGACCGCGACACAGAGTTTCGACAATCTGAGAAAAAGATAACTCAACCATTTGGAAAATATCATAAGGCTACAAGCAGTGAAATAAGACCAGAAACTGATCTCAAAAACAAAGCTCAAGTTGAAAATGATAATTTATCTAAAAGTAAAATAAAAGATGATCATTTTGCACTTAATTATGAAGAAAACTATAATGGGGTTGGAGTGGTTACTCCAAGCATGGAAGAATTAGTAGAAGGTGATTTACATCTCAGTGATGAAACAAGTGATAATGTTGAAATCATAAAAAGTACTGCAAATGAAAAAACTCATAGCAAGGATAAGTGCCATACTGGTCATGAAAATTTTGCCACCTTACAAAAGAAAGTAGAACAGAAAGATAATTTCGTGGAAAAGACAATTGAAAAGGAAAAATCTCAAGAAAAACCGAGTGTTACAGCTCAGGATGATTGTAAAAAACGAAGTAGTAAGAAAAAACATTCTAAGCACAAAGAAACTAAGTTAGAAAAATCTGATTCAACCGATAACGACAAGGAGACAGATAAAGTAAAATCAAAGAAAGATTCAAAAGAGATAAAAACGAAATTTAGTGAGTTATTTGGAGACAGCAGTAGCCTAATATCACCAGAAGATTTAGGCATCTTAAGTGCGCAAGCTCAGACTCAATCCACAGCGCCATATATTCCTGTTTGTGAAGATGCACAAGATGCAGTTGATATTGCTGCTTCTAGTGTGGGAAAAGTGCAAACCCGATTATCAAAATTAAAGTCGGATCAGTTACAAGAAGGTCAAGACATTGATAAAGTTGAAACTGATAGAACAGAAATTAAATCTAAGATTCAAACCAAATTACCTAGTGAAGCGAAAAAGAAAACAAGGAAGAACCCTGATAATGATAAATCGAAAATTAGAGAGGTTTATCAAAGTTTAGTTGCTAATAAACTAGTTGAAGAAAAGAAAGAATGGACTAGAAATTTAACAGTAAATGAACCAAACATAAATCAAATAGCTGCAGATACAATAGAAGCTGACCCAAACCAACAAATAACGCCGAGCTCCGAAGCAAATGAGCCACTAGGAAAACAAAAAGCGTCGGACACCATAAAAAATAAACAGGCAGTAAAACACAGACGGTCAACCATCTACGACGATAAGCCTGTAGTAAAACAAATGACACCAGACCCCATAGAAGATAAGCCGCCAGTCATAGTAACTGTAGTTAGTATGACTGCTGCTGCTGTAGCAGATACAGGAATAAAGCAAGTTGTGTCAGATACAACTAGCAAAGAACCATGTCAGCCAGTCTCAGAAAATGTTGATTTACGTGAACAACAGTCAATATTGATTGACAATCCTAAACAGTCTGTTGAAGAACACAAAGTACTAGTGTCTATACCTAAAAATGACGTACTTGATAAACCTAGTATACTGATGCGAGCTTTGGCAACATCCACGCCGCAGAAAGAGGTTCAGCCAAACGATTCTGGAATGAAGACAGTGGAAGGCGCGCAAGAATCGAGCAGCAAAGATGTAAGCAAAGATAACGTGATGGCCGACCAGTCGTCAAACAACGAAAGTGTGGACAACCAGAAAGACGCCGACATTCCCGACGTTCGGATATTTGTCAAAAGGAAAAGGAGAGTCAAAGCCCCTAAACAATAAGAAGCCAAGAATGAAGTTATTTCTAAATATTTTCATGGACAAGGTACATGACTGTCGTATATTCTTAAGTGTTTGCGCGCACACAGGCAATGTGAAATGACTTACAGCACACTAAAAGAATATGAATTAACCAACTTGTGTCACAGGTGACTCTAATGTTATTTTTAACGGCATCGTATTATTACCCTATTCATGTTTCTTTTTTTATTTTACTTAAGATTTGTAGAATTGGTTTACCCAATAAAAGGTAATATTTTCTTATTCCCACAAAGGTATTAAATTACATTTGTAAATATTGTAAATATTTAAAGCTACTGTTAAACCAGAGATTTAAATAAAATACTTGATTATATTCCCATAACAGTCTTTATTGTCCTTAAAAATAGCTATAACTTACATTTATTATTTACAATTATTTATTTGTGTATTTATAAACATTTACAGGATGTTTTTTCGTTCCAATTTAATATAGTTTGATTACATAACGACATACAAGTAATTTATAAAAATATTAGCTATTCAACATTATTGCTTTGAACAAAATTAATATAACGATTTTTTTTTTACATCAATCAATAACCGTGACGTCATGATAAGTCCATAATATGAAAATTGATTGTGATTGTTTATAATAGTAGGGACAATAACATTATAAATCAATGACCTAAAAAACCGGCTAAGTCAAAGTGATGTTCGTATGCCGATTTCTGTAACATTTTTATTGTATCACATGTTTTGTGTTACTAAGTCAGATAGACACGGATTTTAGTATTTCACTCAAGCCTATAACAGAGCCATAAGAATCGTCTCGACTGGAAGTCTTCCCACACAGGGAAGATTCAAGACGATATATCGGCTAGCTAGGCATAGCTTCGTCACAAAAATGACCAAAATATTACGTTCACATAACAGTATGTAATAACATTTACGTTGCGTTATCAATCAATTCAGTTTGGCCAGGAATTATTCACATAAAAAACAGCAGTATACATAAAATTGTATGTATTGTATTTACACGTCATAACTAATCAACATTAATGTCAGTATCTTCGAATACATAGCTTAAAATTATTGTAAACTTAAAAGTAAACATCAACATTCTCACACTTTCATTGGAGATATCACTGCACATAATATGACACGTTCATTCTTATAACAGTTTAGTACTTGATTGCTAACTAATTTATTTCTAGGACATAAATAGACGATGGAAATTGCTTTATAAATTTTTAATTTGCCTATCAGAGCAGAATATATGGCAGAGTTCTTCCATCGTCTTTCTGGAATTTTTCTTTTCTCACAAAGTACTAATAATAAACTTACACTACTGGAATTCATTAATTAACATATCGATATATTTAAAATATTTGTTTCATTTAGGAGGTCGTTATTTAACGAACAAAATGCCATCGATTCATTGTCTTATTTAATATATTCAGGTTACCAATTTCATTGCGTTTGCGAAGCTTTTTTGAGCTTGTAAGACATTTCCAACTGACGTTTCAAGTTCAACTTATAATGACTGCGTCGGACAGACGCGTAGACGGTCATAGTGGGTGTATTTAGTAACGGGCAGTTATGCATCAGGTTTTTCAATGTATACTGGACGCAGTGAATGTAAGCACGGGTGGGCATCCGAAAGATTGTAACTCATCGTACATCTGCGTATCATCAACGAGCGGCTATAAAGGGTTCTAAGAATGCAGACTTACTGGTCTGTGTCCATAGTAATTATTGGGCTAAGTATAATTTCTATGCGGAAGGTGGTGGCTCGGGCAGCGAAGCAAGACGGCAAGTTGAGTGTTGTTGTTACGATGCTATGTTGATCATTGATACATCTTGTCTTACGCCCGCATTCACAAAAACTACTATAAGGTTTCACAGTGCACGTGAACGCACAGGGGGACATACGAACCAATCATAGAGCTATATTCAACGCTGTGCGTTTGATTTACTGCTTCACTTAAGCAAGCTGTTTGTGAATACGGGCGTTCTATTAAATAAGCAGAAGGTAGATTCTAATTGAATATCTATTGCAGCGTCATAAAATACGCTGGATAGCGTTGTTAGTGCAATGTTGAATCTTCTGCGCATCATGGTGGATAATATAGTCGTCAGCATATACCTATGGGTGAGGTATATTGGATAATTTCCACCTCCCAGTTACCTTGGCACCTGGGTCATTGCTATAAGATGTGTGATGCGAAATTCAAGCTTCTAATGATCCATAGCAAAATCGTCAGCACACTGAGGTACATTGGACAATTCCCACCAGGAAGGCTCCCTGTTTGCACCGTAGCTGGGATAGGAGTTTACGCTGTGTGCACTATTCCTGAGACAGGGTTCAGGTGTGATCAACCGTCGTTTTGTATAAGCTGTGTGCTACAAGATGTTGTGGGAGGCGATTTTCATCTGCCACAACTCGGTATATTGTTCTTTAGTAATCCATAGCATAATCGTCAGTACACTGAGGTATACTGGACAATTTCCACCCGGCCGGTCACCTTGGCACCAGCGTCAGTGCGGGACGTGTGCTTTAAGATTTTGTGGGAGGCGGTTGAATCTTTTGCGCCCCACAAAACGGTTCTTTAATGATCCATAGCATAATCATCAGCACACTGAGGTATATTGGACAACTTCCACCTGGGCCAAGTTTCAGGTGTGACCAACCGTCGCTGTAGCTGTATACAGGGCGTGTGCTATAAGTTGTTGTGGGACAGCGTGGGGATGACATTGTTGGCGGAGGGTATGCGCGCTACGATACAGTGGATTCTGCGTTAATGATCCATAGCATAATCATCAGCACACTGAGGTATATTGGCCAATTTCCACCTTTTCACCTGGCACGTTACCCTGTCACCTGCTTCAGTTTGTGGCGTGTGCTATAAGCTGTAGTAGGAGGCGTTTGAAGTTTCTCCGCCCCACAAAACGGTTCTTTAACCGATTGAGTCCCAGACGGCATTAATTAATGTCATAACAATTGATTATCTATTGTGTCTAGATTCGCGGAGCTTGAAGGATTAATGATCCATAGCATAATCATCAGCACACTGAGGTATACTGAACAATTTCCACCGGGAGGTCTCGCTGTTTGCACCGTAGCTGGAATGAGTTTCAGGTGTGACCAACCATCGCTGTAGCTGTATACAGGGCGTGTGCTATAAGTTGTTGTGGGACAGCGTGGGGATGATGTTGTTGGCGGAGGGTATGCGCGCTACGACACAGTGGATTCTGCGTTAATGATCCATAGCATAATCGTCAGCACACTGAGGTATATTGGCCAATTTCCACCTTTTCACCTGGCACGTTACCCTGTCACCTGCTTCAGTTTGTGGCGTGTGCTATAAGTTGTAGTAGGAGGCGTTTGAAGTTTCTCCGCCCCACAAAACGGTTCTTTAATGATCCATAGCATAATCATCAGCACACTGAGGTATATTGGACAACTTCCACCTGGGCCAAGTTTCAGGTGTGACCAACCGTCGCTGTAGCTGTATACAGGGCGTGTGCTATAAGTTGTTGTGCGACAGCGTGGGGATGATGTTGTTGGCGGACGGGATGTCGTCGGCGCGCGAGGTGGAGGCGTGGTCGGAGCGGCGCGAGCGTCGGCGCAAAACTGCGGGCTGCGCGTCGACGCCTTCGGGCGGTGCCACGTGCTGCGAATGATAAGGTCAATAAGTTTTCGTCTAATATACTTCGAGGTACTGAGTATTTTATTTACGAGCTAAAATATGTCACTTCGTTAATTATTGAATTGTCTTTTCTGGATTGTGAGAATTTGAATTCGAAACTAAGAATTATGATAAAAAATGTGGGGAAAAAAGAAAGAGCTCCACCGATTATATCAAGCATGAATCTTTCTGGGTAAATAAACTAGACAAACGCCAGCGTGGCTACTCCGAAAAACGTTATACGAAGTATCGAATGTTGCCATCCCTCTCATGCAAAGTGAGACGCGAGCATGAGCGACGATGACAAATCGACATGAAATTACGTAAACACCTCGGAGTACTCCGAAACGGAGTGAAATAATGGGTGCATTTAGCAGAAAATAGAAATTGTAAGCGAGTTTGGCGAGGACACATTTGCTAACTTTAATAGTGATCGTGTTTTATTAATTTTTTCAGCAGTGACAATTCTTACCGCCATTTGGCTTATAATTACATTGTGAAGTGAGTAAATAATATTGATTTATTAATAATTACCGCCAATCGCACGAAATGAGTCTATTTCAATGGGTCACGCTCAACGCCCACGGTATAATAATGTCTTTGTTAGCGACGTCAACCGAGAAAATACGCTAATTTATTAATTAGAATTGATTAGCAACGTTAACAATCAGAAAATGTACTAAAATAATCAATTAGAGTCGATTAGAGATAAATATCATTCCATCTCTTTCTCACATTATCTGTCATCTCACTTGCACATCAATTACTCTTCCACACACTTCTGGAATATTCGAGAGAAAAAGAAACAGGACGGCAATATCGGACCTCTCGCTTCGAACATTCCAGAACTATGGTCCAGAACATGAGAGACAGAGACAGGAATATCGGGAGAGAAAGGGATGGGATCTGAAGAAGCAAGAACTGAGAAAAGGAAGCGAATAATAAACGCGAGAAGTCTCAGCAAGTGAAATAGTGGTTTTATTCCTGCAAGTAGCACCTACTACGCCTGACATAGTAAGGGCAAGCTCTCAACGGCAGTCCTCATCGTCCGGTCAGCGCTCTCGAACACACACAAACGCATACAGTCCACTGCAGTCCACCACAGTGTTAGTAAACGCGTACGCACCTGGTAGCAGACGGCGGAGGCGTGACCGGAGCGCGCGGAGGGCAGCGGCGTGCCGGGCCGCCACGCGTCCGCGCACGGCTCGTACACCTCCACGATGTTCAGGAACGACGTGCCGTCGTAGCCGCCTGGGAGGATACGCTTTATTTATTTATTTATTTATATTAGGAAGACCAGGGTTTACATAATTATTTTACAGTTAATAACTCTTGATAACCACTTATAGGTCCCCACAGATAGAATTGTGGTGAATATTTAAAGAAATTATAAAAACAGATAAAATTTATACGATACACGATACACATAATGTTGTAATAAAGAGATTGTAATTTTACCATATTAGAGTTCCCGTTACCTCATATTTATAATAAACAACAGCATCAAACATATTATTTTTACAATCGGGCCATAAAATAGCATTGAAGAGTATGACAATCTGAGATGCAGCTTTTTCATTCTGGATAAAAAAGTAACAAATATAAGTGTTCCTGTGATGCGGATTTCAGCACGCGTGCGGCCCTCATTTCAATATTTTTTACTTGTTTTTCCTATTATGCGGACTACACGTGGAACGCGGATTGGCTGCGAGCGACAATACGAAATCTTTGTCCTGCATGCAACCAGCAGCGTGATTTGACACGCACGCGGACTAGAACCGCTCGCGTGCCGCAATTCGCATCACAAGAAAAAGGCACTACATGTCTGCTTCGTGTCGTAGCATCCATGTTAGCAACCGGCATATCCGTGGCTTGGTGTCGTTGCACTAAACCGACGTAATTGACTCAATCGTCACGGTTGTATCGTAACGCTCCAACATGGACGCGCTATGACTCCGGCCAGACGTTGCGTTCTGTCGTATCGCTCCACGGACGCGACTGATTCATGTCTACGTATCGTAGCCGTCACCGACGTAACTGACTCAGCCATGTCTCGTGTCTAACCGTCTACTAACTCACCCATAGCGTAAAGCTTGTTGTCCAGCACGGTGAGCGAGTTGGAGAGCGAGCGATGTTGACGGCCGCGACGGGCTCCCACACGTTACGTTCTGTGTCGTATCGCTCCACGAACGCCAGTTAATTCATCTATGTCTCTGTGTCATAGCGGCCACGAACGCGCCTGATTCTTCTATGTCTGATGACTACGTATCGTAGCATTCGTAGCGCTCCATAGACTAACCCATGGCATAAAACTTGTTGTCCAGCGACCAGTCCACGGTAAGCGAGAGCGCCGAGCGCGCGATATTGACGGCCGCGACAGGCTCCCACACGTTACGTTCTGTGTCGTACCGCTTCACGGACGCGACTAATTCCCGTCTACGTAATTGACTCAGCCATGTCTCGTGTCTATGCGTCTACTAACTTCGTTCGTTAATTTCAGCCAAATTACGTCCACTGCTGGACAAAGGCCTCCCCGAAGGCTTTTCATAATGAACGGTCCTGCGCTGCCCGCGTCCAGGTTCTTCCCGCGACCTTTACCATATCGTCGGTCCACCTAGTAGGAGCTAGAGCCCACGCTACGTCTTCCAGTCCGTTGGCGCCACTCCAGAACTTTTCTGTCCCAACGGCCATCGTCTCTACGAGCTATTTGCCCCGCCCACTGCCACTTGATTTTAGTCTACTAACTTACCCATGGCGTAAAGCTTGTTGTCCAGCACGGTAAGCGAGAGCGCCGAGCGCGCGATGTTGACGGCCGCGACGAGCTCCCACACGTTACGTTCTGTGTCGTATCGTTCCACCGACGCGAGTTGCTGCGAGCCGTCGTAGCCGCCCACCACGTAGATGTACTGGTTTAGTGCTGCTACGCCTGGAAAGGAGAGAAGGAATTAGAAAACTTAATTACCACGGCCACGTTCAACAGTCTACTACGCACTTCACCAAAAGAGCCCAGTGTTATTTATAGCGCGCATTTTGGCAAAGCTTAATCTCATGATATTAATCCGGATCAAGTTGCAAGCAGTTGTCGGATACACACGTGGATGTGACGTCATCATAGGTTTAGTCATTCTATTTTGATAAAATGTTCCAACTATGATCTCCATGTGTTTACTTTAGTTGTGTTTGGTAGCGACTGGGTAAAAAAATACACGAAATGTATGACAGATTATTTACACAACGCTATTAACAGTTACATTCAAGAAAAAAATATGTTTATAGATTTTTTGACGTACCATCGGCAACAGTGTTAACTATCCATTGCCTGTCATGTCGTCTCGTTCTATCGCAAAGAATCACCATTTGATGAGACGGAAATGGATAGTTAACAGTGTGGCCGTGTGTACCTTCTAATGTTGACATGTAATATTAGGCGCCGTCGAAGACGCCCACTGCATACAGCAGGCGGTTGACGACCGCCACGCCTACCCCGTGGGCGGCTTCCAAACTTCTGTCTCGCGTTTCTGTCTCCTGTTTCTTTTTCGCACTGTGAAACCGCCACAAAAGTAGGTGCAACTGCACTCATCGGCACCGCTGCGCGCCTGGCTCATGGGCGCGACTTCTGTCCAGCGGTTGTTCTCGGGGCGTCAGGGGGTTGTTCACGCCGACGGCGTACAGCAGGCGATTGACGACCGCCACGCCTATACCGTGGGCCGCTTCGAAGCTTCTGTCTCGCGTTTCTGTCTCCTCTCTCTTTCTTGCACTGTTAAATAAAGTCGAAGCCACCCACTGCTACAGCAGGCGTTTGACGACCGCTACGCTTACGCCGTGGTGGATTTCGAAACTTCTGTCTCGCGTTTCTGTCTCCTGTTTCATTCTCGCACTGTAAAACTGCCGCAAAAGTAGGTGCAACTGCACTCACCGGCACCGCTGCGGGCTTGACTCATGGGCGCGACTTCTGTCCAGCGGTTGTTCTCGGGGCGTCAGGGGGTTGTTCACGCCGACGGCGTACAGCAGGCGATTGACGACCGCCACGCCTACACCGTGGGCCGCTTCGAAAGTCCTGTCTCGCGTTTCTGTCTCCTCTCTCTTTCTTGCACTGTTAAATAAAGTCGAAGCCACCCACTGCATACAGCAGGCGGTTGACGACCGCTACGCTTACGCCGTGGTGGATTTCGAAATATCTGTCTCGCGTTTCTGTCTCCTGTTTCATTCTCGCACTGTAAAACTGCCGCAAAAGTAGGTGCAAGTGCACTCACTTTTTGCACTGTTAAATAAATAGTAACAGTGTGTTCACTCACCGGCACCGCTGCGGGCTTGACTCATGGGCGCGACTTCTGTCCAGCAGTTGTTCTCGGGGTGGTAGCACTCGACGGAGCGCACGCGGCCGGCGCCGTCGAAGCCGCCGACTGCGTACAGAAGCTGCGTACGCCCACGCCATGGGCGGCTTTGAAACTCCCGTCTCGCGTTTCTGTCTCCTCTCTCTTTCTTGCACTGTTAAATAAAGTCGAAGCCGCCCACTGCATACAGCAGGCGGTTGACTACCGCTACGCTTACGCCGTGTTGGATTTCGAAACTTCTGTCTCGCGTTTCTGTCTCCTGTTTCATTCTCGCACTGTAAAACTGCCGCAAAAGTAGGTGCAAGTGCACTCACTTTTTGCACTGTTAAATAAATAGAAACAGTGTGTTCACTCACCGGCACCGCTGCGCGCCTGACTCATGGGCGCGACTTCTGTCCAGCGGTTGTTTTCAGGGTGGTAGCATTCGACGGAGCGCACGCGGCCGGCGCCGTCGAAGCCGCCGACTGCGTACAGCAGGCGCTTCGAAACTCCTGTCTCTTGTTTCTGTCTCCTCTCTCTTTCTTGCACTGTTAAATAAAGTCGAAGCCACCCACTGCATACAGCAGGCGGTTGACTACCGCCACGCCTACGCCATGGGCGGCTTTAAAACTCCTGTCTCGCGTTTCTGTCTGCTATTTCTTTTTCGCACTGTAAAACCGCCACAAAGGTAGGTGCAACTGCACTCATCGGCACCGCTGCGCGCCTGACTCATGGGCGCGACTTCTGTCCAGCAGTTGTTCGCGGGGCGTCAGGGGGTTGTTCACGCCGACGGCGTACAGCAGGCGGTTGACGACCGCCACGCCTACACCGTGGGCCGCTTCGAAACCCCTGTCTCGCGTTTCTGTCTCCTCTCTCTTGCACTGTTAAGTAAATAGTAACAGTGTGTGCACTCACCGGCACCGCTGCGGGCTTGACTCATAGGCGCGACTTCCGTCCAGCAGTTGTTCTCGGGGTGGTAGCACTCGACGGAGCGCACGCGGCCGGCGCCGTCGAAGCCGCCGACTGCGTACAGAAGCTGCGTACGCCCACGCCATGGGTGGCTTTGAAACTCCTGTCTCGCGTTTCTGTCTCCTCTCTCTTTCTTGCACTGTTAAATAAAGTCGAAGCCACCCACTGCATACAGCAGGCGGTTGAGTACTGGCACGCCCACGCCATGGGCGGCTTTAAAACTCCTGTCTCGCGTTTCTGTCTCCTGTTTCATTCTCGCACTGTAAAACTGCCGCAAAAGTAGGTGCAAGTGCACTCACTTTTTGCACTGTTAAATAAATAGTAACAGTGTGTGCACGCACCGGCACCGCTGCGGGCTTGACTCATGGGCGCGACTTCCGTCCAGCAGTTGTTCTCGTGGTGGTAGCACTCGACGGAGCGCACGCGGCCGGCGCCGTCGAAGCCGCCGACTGCGTACAGAAGCTGCGTACGCCCACGCCATGGGTGGCTTTGAAACTCCTGTCTCGCGTTTCTGTCTCCTCTCTTTCTTGCACTGTTAAATAAAGTCGAAGCCACCCACTGCATACAGCAGGCGGTTGAGTACTGCCACGCCCACGCCATGGGCGGCTTTAAAACTCCTGTCTCGCGTTTCTGTCTGCTATTTCTTTCTCGCACTGTGAAACCGCCTCAAAAGTGGGTTCAACTGCACTCACCGGCACCGCTGCGGGCTTGACTCATGGGCGCGACTTCCGTCCAGCAGTTGTTCTCGGGGTGGTAGCACTCGACGGAGCGCACGCGGCCGGCGCCGTCGAAGCCGCCGACTGCGTACAGCAAGCGGTTGACGACCGCTACGCCTACCCCGAGTCGCGCGCAACCCATTGGCGCTACTGGTGTCCACGTGTCGCGTTCCGGGTCGTAGCTGGAACAAATGGAGCGTTAACGCTTTGACTAGCCGTGGGTCAATGAGGGCTATCGTTTTTATACTTAACAGTTGGCACCCCTGGCGATTGACAGGACCTTACTCTACAGTGGCGCCATCTTGATGAGTGCAAATGCGATAGTCCTCCTACCACTTTAGCGCTCACAAGTTGGCGCCACTGTCTTCGCTACTAGCAAGTGACAGGACCTTACTCTACAGTGGCGCTAACTGGTGAGCGCTAAAACGATAGCCCTCATTGATCACCGAGTCAAAAAAAAAAAGTATATAAGTAGTATATCCGTTAAGCTAGCACCCATAACACAAGCATTAAGTTGCTTACTTTGGGGCTAGCTGGCGCTGTGTGAAATTGTCCAAAGATTTATTATTATTATTATTATTTTACTGGTGTACCGATTGATCACCGTTTGATTGATGACCGCTTGCCAAAAGACAGGGTCGACGAACAAAGAATTTGCAGAAAATCAAAATGTGGAGTGCAGTGGAGAGCAACTGCCCAACTGCCCAAGGCAGTCTTAAGGGTAGTTGGCGCACTAGTCAATTATGAGTCGTCAAAAACGCCTTTCCCACAAATATAGTGCGAATAAATACAATCTATGACGTCATTTTTTAATAACTATCAAAACGCGATTTCCATAATCTTTTAATTATCTTCATGTGATAAGTTTTTAGTACTTACTATTCTACTGATTTGTGATAGTCTGAACCTGATGAGCCTCCAACTGCGTATAATAATCCGTCCATTACAGCTACTCCTACCTGAAAATAAATCATGCTCAATAAGTTATCGCGTACTCAAACATTGTATAAGTTTCTTTTTGTTAAATCGCATTAATATGCATGCACTTTGACTTTTAAGTAAAAAAAAATAGTGCAATTAAAGCATTTGGCAATTGACGTTTGATACGACGCTGACATTCTGAAATCAAATTTTACATTGGTCCTTCGAGCCGGATGACATAATAATATAAGATGTGTGGACTTTCACAGACTTACAAGCTAGTCTGATGAGGAAAACGTATAATAATGGTTTACTTAGTTAAATTCGAAAAAGTCAGTTTAATAATAAATTATTTACCCTATGTCTTGGTGTGGACATGGGGCTGCAGGGCCGCCAGAGGTCGGTGGCGGGGTTGTACACGTCCACCCAGTCGCTGTCGTACGACGAGCCCGGCGACGTGTTGCGACCGCCCACCGCGTAGAATAGACCCTGAAACAACGACCAAAAGTTCATATTTGAATGAAGGTAAACAGATACCTTGCTCACTGCCTGAACAATCGTAGGTTCTTAACTACTACTTTTATTACGGCTACGGTCTCTTATTAAACGTATCACCAGTAGCCTCATTTACGTAACAAAACTTCAATGACAACAAATCGCTGATTGCGATCCTATCGAGTAATCGTTCTATCGAAATGAACCTTATGAATACGGATTTAGAACTGTTTATCAATGGGACGACTTCTAAACGTCAGCGAGATCTTGACTGTCAAAATACGTGAATTAGGCCACAGGACCGTCTTTGACCTGCTGGTCTGGGCATTGGGCCCTTTTAGAGTTGACGGGGTCACCTGGACTAGTGCCAAGAGTGCCCATTTGAGAAAGAAGTAGACTGTGCGTTACGTCCGAGATTATTAAAGTTTCCGATCGCTCTCTGAACGTTGCCCATGCGCCGACGTCAGCATGTGAAAGAGACCGTACATTTCTAACAAGTATCGCACCACGGCGTCCAAACATGAAGCTGTAAACGGTAGATACCGCTCATAGGAGATTACAGCCTAAGTAAAAACAATGACACATCAACTTAAACATTGTTGCACCTTATGTATTTGCACTAAGTGCTATTGTACCAGCAGTTGTCGTCGATGTTGAACGCCTCGAACACTCGATGGAGTGGCGGGAGCGGCCGCGCGATATGGCACCTTATGCGGTCGCAGCAAGGGCCACGTTACCTTGAGGAAGGCAGCGCGGTCCAGCAGTTGTCGTCGATGTTGAAGGTTTCGAACACCCGAATGAATAGCGGAGTGGGCGCGCGATATGGCACCTTATGCGGTCGCAGCAAGGGCCACGTTACCTTGAGGAAGGCGGCGCCGAGGCCGGAGCGCGGCACCGTCAGCTGCGGCAGCGCGGTCCAGCAGTTGTCGTCGATGTTGAAGGCCTCGAACACGCCGATGGAGTGGCGGAAGTAGCCGCCCGCCACGTAGATGATGCGCGGCGTGTTCGGCCGCCGCTCCTTCACGACGGGCTTCTTGTGTAGTGTGAGATCCTGAATCAATGATCAACTATTGTTAAACTAGCATATTCTCTGGGTCTCAAACAATCTCTATACTAAATTTCATCGAAATCGATTCAGTGGTTTAAGCGTGGAAGAGTAACAAACATACATCCATCCTCCTTATAAGGAGATCAGAAAAATCTATCAAACTTCCAGTCTGAAATACCTAATTATATCAAATAAGCGCCAAATTCTTCAAACTTCCAGTCTGAAATACCTAATTATATCAAATAAGCGCAAAATTCTATCTGTCTTTTGAACCATTTGAAAAAATTCAAGATACAGATTTTACATTTTTGTTCAATGTTTAAAATATTACAGCCTACATAAAGACGCTACAGTGTTTAGGCTTACCTTAAATATTTTCGCGAGGTACTCCCTACAGGCGGGCACTTTCCTTAACACTTGACACGTGCTCATCTGTTCCTTGAGGAAGCTGGGCGTGAGATACTGGCATCGCACCGCTTGTAGGATGTGCTCCATTCGTCCATGCCTTCTGTCTTCGTCGTACTTTACCTGGACACAGGGATATGAGGACATTAACCCTTAACCAAGCATAAGGGAAAATTATCTTCTTTCATTGGTTTTCTACCGTTTCTTTAAAGCATAAAGTTCAAATTGAAGTGGGGTCTATTTAACCCGATTAAGACCTGAGGTGCGATTGTGTAAAGTTGTTCATGGATGGACAATGAATACAATTGATCATCGATCGTATATCTAAATTCGAATTGTGTAATTTTGTCCATTCCATGAAGACCGAAAAGTGACCGGTCGTATATAATCGTTTCATGGATTAGCGTTTTATTAATGAAAAACATTCGCTAAAACTCATTATTTTTTAACAAATAACAAATGAAATCCATGTTCAAATGCAGTTTTTTTTTAATAAAATTTTATGATTGCACCTTAATAACATACTTTTATTCATAAAAACATTGAATTCGAATTAAAAATTTACCTCTGCAAATCATATAACCAAACGCATAGAACGAATGAAATACGAGTTCCACTACCCGCCCCCAGGTGGCATACATACTTTAAGGCTAGGCAGGCTAAGTTGAATACTACTCTACAATAGGTGGCGTTAATGGACTACGAAAAACGACGTGAAATGCTTACTTCTTTTTATTTATTTATACTTTAATGCCAAAATTTTAACCTAAGGCGAACTTAATCTCACATTTAATAAATTATTGGCTCCGTGCACGATTACAGCGCCAACTAGCGTCCANCGTACCGGAAAACACAGCGTGAGACGTCCACCCAAAAGGTGGACCGACGATATCATAAAGGTAGCAGGAAGGCGCTGGACGCAGGCCGCTACCAACCAGTCATAATGGAAATTATTGGGGGAGGCCTATGTTCAGCAGTGGACGTCCTATGGCTGAGATGATGAAGATGATGAGGGCAAAAGTTGAAAATTCTAAATGTAAAGGACAACGTAAAGTTAAAAATTGATGTAATCAAGTATACCACACATAAAGCGAAGTTGATTTGTCCTATTTTTGTTACTTTCACATTATTGTACGTAAATGCGTCATAAATGTGAATGAGGACGCGTCAATTTGTCAAAGACATGTATGACGTGTGACGAGTCTACTCATGCTTTTATCTGTAATAAGTTGATGTTATGGAAAATCAATATTATCCTGATTCAAGCCAGAGATTTGTTGAATGGTATTCAACAAATCTCTGGCTTGAATCTTTTCTTGAGTATGAAATCTTGAAATCCATTAAATCCATTAAAGGATATGGGCTTCATCATCATCATCATCATTTCAGCCGTAGGACGTCCACTGCTGAACATAGGCTTGCCCCAATGATTTCCATGTTGACCGCGGTTGGTCGCGGCGTTCAGCGACTTCCTGCTACCTTTATGATGTCGTCGGTCCACCTTGTGGGTGTCCACTCCAGAATGTGGGCTTAATACTACTAATTCCTAATAATAATATTTAGTTAGCGCCAATCGAATATCTTGAAACCAATAATTTTCGCACTTTTCATTTAGTCATTTCCTTGAGATCGTCACTCCATAGAACATACGTTGGTTATATTTTATTTACAGCTTCATGTATTGTATTTGTTCCTGTAAAAATATTTTATTTTCATGGAAAGGGTACTTCTATTCGTACATTTTAGGAATTTGCTAGCAATTTGTTTTGCATCGAAATAATCTGAATAAATAATATTTCGATACAATAAAAAAGGAATGTACGTACGAGACTGCGGCCCGAGAAACCAATCTTGCGGTATTTCCCAGTAGGGTTGTCAAATGCAGAAGTATTTTATTTTTATTAAAATTTAAGAGGAATTCTCAATTTAATAATACAAAAATAGGTACATAATAGCAATAGAAAAATCAATTGTTATTAATATTTATGCTTGAAGTAGGTATTGTTAAGTTGATTTGTGTAGCTCGTTTTTAAGCTAGATGGTTCATTCCCCTAAAAATACATACGTATTCAGTTATCTTTTCATTGTTTTTTTTTTCAAATGGTATTAGTTGTAGGAATTGTAGGTATTTGTGCTTGTAGACATTGAAATTTTATTTTTGTTACTTTTTTTTAGTTTTTGTTAACTTCATATTATTGTGACCTTTATTAAACTGCCCTTTTCGTTTCTGCGGGGCTCCGTCCATACCACATGTGGGCCGACTATTCCATGATTGACAACCATGGATGGAATTTATTTATTTATTTATTTATTTATGACGTACAAAACAGGTTACAGCCAAAATATGATTTACAAATTTTAATACACTGCGATTTTATGGACTAGGTTGTTACCCTTAGTATGTACATACTACATCAAAAACTAAACAGCAGACGTTATTGCAAAGTTCAAAACATATTCAGAAAAGATAAAACACAGCAAGACAAAACACACAAAGCAAGATGGTGCAACCCATCCTGGAATCCATCCATGGAATAGGAAATACTTAGATAAAATTAACATATTTTGTACTCGACTGCACCAGGGACCGTACCTATTGTTTTTCAAGTATATTTCTGTAAAGTAAATATTATGTAGATGCAATGCATCTCCTTGGAAGTAATTCTGGCGCCCATATTGACAACCCTATCGGCCAATAACGTTTCAATTTCGCCAAGCTACACGTAAAATGTGCTTAAAATGTACAATAAAGAATTGAATTGTTTTATCAGGTACTGTGTCCAGTTCCAAGTTTCCAAGGTATCCAAGGCTTGCCACACCGACTCCGATTACAAAGCTCTGAGAGAAGGTAAAAAAAAATATTTTTACTGGCGATATTTAAATATTTTTTTTTTATCATATTGCAAAGTTTCTGTAACTTCTAAATCAACTTCAACCTTTATTGCAAAATTAAGCTAGCTACTATCGGCCACAGTGTTATCTGCCCATTTCCGGTCATATCGTCTCGTTCTATCGTAAAGAATCACCATTTGATGAGAGCGAGAGCAAAAACGTAAATGGGTAGTACACTGTAGCCGATAGTAAAACTTATCTATCGACTGAAAAACAAACCGTCAATCAAAACAGTTTTTTAACATTTTTTTTTCTCAACAGGCAACACGGTCTGCGTACTCTGCGAAACGGCTGCCTTACGCCGGGATCTGAACTGGCGATGCGACGGCCACGGCGTGGCTGGCCATACGACACGCTTCTTCGCGATGGTGGCGCCACTCTGCCACGGCAAATGGGTCCGGTCTGAGACCACCCCGGACAAACATAGCGAGTGCTGCACAAAACCCGACTTCATTTTCATTTAAATGTAATTTATTTGAAATACGTTTTTAAATGTACTGCATTTATATTTAAAATACTTAATTTTTTTACAAATGTACTTTATTTGTTTTCAATTAATGTACCTACTTCATTTGTTTTAAAAAGTGTAACTTCATTTATTTTTAATTTTAAAAGTATTTCATTTATTTCCAAAACTTCATACGTTTTTGAACACAGTTCATTTATTTTTAATTCATTTGGTTATAATTTTATTTTCGAATAATAACTATGTTTTGAACGTATTTCGTATTACAAGTGTTTGAGATGATTTATGAAACATTATTACCCTCATGATTCTCGAAAGTTATATTTCATTAGCATTGGATTAAACATAGTTTAGATTTCATTTATTCATGTATATGGCTGTCGAAGATTTCTTCCAATATAGTATCGGTATAGTGCATAAATACTTTCGCACTGACTAGTACCTAATGTAAAGACAGCACATTAAAATATTGGTTGTTGCAAAACAGAATCTTACTACCACCATAAGATTGTATATCTTGATGTACTGTCGCCCATACTTGAAATATGAACATAAGATAGCATAGGTAGAGATTTCGTAAGAAAATATGAAGTTATTCTTCTACAGTACATTCATTTTTGAAACTTTCATGAAATAAATGAATAATTTGTAAATACATTTAGTTTCACAAATTTAAATCATTTTGGCATTTATAGGTCAAGCGATCAGTCAATGCCTGAGTGAGTTTTTATTATGTCAGCGAGATTTCAGATTTGTATGCTGTCTCGTCGTAATAATCAGGGATGTCATGGATATCCGTAATCGTAACCGAAACTTTCGGATATCCGAAATAAAAAAATATCCGATACCGTACCTAACCGTAACCGATTCAAAAGTTTCGGATAGTTTCGGATGTAGGCAAGTTAAATTGTTTTTGTATAGCATTATATGTAAAGGCATAACAGCCTGATTTAGGTACCATTATAATGCCATCTATGTAGTATCAATTTTAATTTTTTTATTACTTTTTATTCGATGTAATGTGTGCGGTCATGAATGAACCGTGTTGGACAACTATTTCAAATTGCATTCTAAAGCACAGCTATCCGTAACCGTAACCGAAACTTTCGGATATCCGAAATAAAAAAATATACATAACCGAAACCAGTATAATTCTTATATCCGTAACCGTATCCATAACCGAAACTACATAATTATCCATAACATCCCTAGTAATAATATCAAAATCACGAACCCGCTTTGACGGAGTTGAGCGCTTGATCTATGGTAGTGGAATTTATAACGACGGACCTAGAATTATTATCAATAATATTTCCGATTAATTTTAAGACATTAGTGTAACTATAATTTTATAATATAATTAGGATATTAACCGAATAGCATGTGAATACATATCTAATTAAACGATTTATGTATATAAAATGTTGATTAAATGCTAAGAAAAGTCAATAATTTTTCATTTAATTCTCTCCGTCATTCATACAGTTTTCACGGTAGGTTAAGTTTTTTTTTTCTTCAATATTATATTTTAAACTAGCTTTCCGCCCGCGGCTTCGCCTGCGTGGACTACATTATATAGCCTATAAACCTGACGGAGCCCGAGACCTTTCCAACGAATGCAAAACCGTGGAAATCGGTTCGTGCGTTTTGGAGCTAAAGCGTCAGGAAGGAAAACCCGACTTATTTTTATATAGTAGATTAGAGACTCAAGGGTTCGATTCCTGGTAGAGTCAATCGAATAAAACTAAGGGAAGGAGATCAGTTGTTTGCAAATTATATATCAAAATTGTTTGTTTCCCTAATATAAATAAATAAATAAATAAATAAATTATAAATAACTTGAAGAAATCGAACTGCCTAAGGCGGGAATAGAACTCACGACCTTTCGCTTGCCGGGCAACTGCTCTTCCATCTGAGCTACTTAGACACTTGATAAACCCATCAAGAAATGCAACTCTTAATGCTTAAAAAAATAAATACTTAAGTAAGATAAGTTCTTGTTTTTTAATAATCTAATACACTAAAAAAACACATTATACTAAACTGCAGTTTGTATTCTAGCTACACCTCGGTATACCGATACAGCTTTATAAATCTGATTTAGTTTTTTATGCGTACAAACTAGTGTTGTATCGATATCGACATTCTACAGTCGGTTACGCCGAATGAGCTTAGTAATTGAAGAACTCGACTACTTATGGTAGAGCAGAGCGAAGAAGAGATGTGTGGCGTTTCCATATAAAGAAAACGGGTGAAAACAGACTAAAGGAAGAAATAAACCTCAAGCAAGTGCCAGCAAAGTAGATTAGATCCACTATAGGCTGCTGTCCTAAAAGGTCACTATATAGGGCTACTAATGTATTCTGTGCTATCGGGCAAATGGCGAACATCTCAGGTTTCCTCTACTTCTCTGTCTGGTGGCTGAAGAGTAGGCCAATTTCTCCACTTGCTTCCGTTATTAGAGATTGTCGTGCTGCGGCAATGACTAAATGACTGGACAATAAAATGGCAAAACAGACAAACAATGACAGTTTTAATGTCGAAAGATGGTCGAAATGCTTTTTTTTGTGTGGAGTTACAAAGGATTCGATTTTCGATTCGATCGACCTACTAAAGATGACAACGAATCCAACTATCGATATACGATTACTATATTTCCACATCACTACAGCAGGGTTCAGCATTTTACTTGCCCTCCTGATAAGATACACGGTTATCACATGTCGTTGGCGGTGCAATATACATGTAAATGTGCGAGGGGGCGCCACCGTCGTCATGACAAGCACCATTACATCTAACCCGATATTAGGCGAGGATTTTTTAGACTACCCACTGTTTTGTGACTTTTCTGCTAGGTTAATACAACGAACTCCAAACTCCTCCTACTACCCGTTCGCGCTAAGTTTGCCGGTCCGTAGAATGCGCGTCCCCTTCCCCAACCGCGATTAGAAGCAATTAGTTAGTGATTAAACGCAATTAATGTGTCTTATTTTATTGCGTAAAATAAGACACATTAATTGCGTTTAATACACAATTTTTATCAATAAAAACAAATAAAAAATATTTTAAATATAGTTTGTTATAGTTTTAGACGCTTCCCTTCGAGTGACGTCATATCGCCAGCGGCAAACTTAAAGCGAACGGATATTATGTTCTTCTGATTAATTTCGTTGCGGGTCCAATGACAGTTTCTTTCCCTCGGGACAAACTTGACCTTCACTGATTGGGTTTTTATTGGCGGTCAAGCTGAATATCCTGGCTACACACAAGTTGCAGTGGTGGGAACGAGAGGTGGGAATAGTCCCGTAGGTTAATCCAATGGTTGATGGTTCGAGTCTTAATGGGTGCATCTTATGAGATTTGACATTGTGTGTTCACATGTCAGTACCTCTAGCATGAACAACTTTCGTCTTCGAATCGTTTGCGTATTCGACAAACTCCATACTCAACCTTCGAATTAAACGATAACGTGACAATTTTGATTCTCAAAATAAGTTTCGTACAACCATTTCTCATACTAAGTTCACTTTACGACACGTTCACAAGGACGTAGTTGTAGTTTTCGTACTAAATCTTTTGATGGCAATTCGAATACGCAAATGATTCGAACTCCAAAGTTATTCGTGCTAGCCGTACAGTCCTGTTTTGCTGGTTCCTGCATTGCAAAACTGGATTGTCGTGGGAACAAGCCCTTAGAAAGAACTCCGTAACCTCTATTGGATTATGGCACGTGTCAGAAGCATTACACGGTAAAGGAATACATAATATTACGATGATAGATACAAAACAAAGGAAAATGCGATGAGAGAAACACAATTTTGTCACCAAATTGAATAAACACTACTTACCTACCTTTCAGCATAAATGGATCAAAAATAACATTATTTACATCTCAAAGTAAATCTAACGATATCGAAAAATTATGTGCTCGACTTGGCGAGGGCACTGCCGTGCTAAAAAACTTATGAAACTCTTTTATTTTTTGGAAATAGGCTTTTAAAAACCTTTTATTTTTATCCTGCCACTGCTTCGGGCAATATGTTACGGGCCAGTGCTGAGAAGAAGCAGCGCAAGAAACTCAGTCACTTGTAAGTCTCAAATTAGGTATCCTTTTGCTTATGGTTTTGCCCATAACTTCATCCACGTTTATATCAATAAAAGAACTCTGAACTAATAGAACCGTTTAAATATGGGATCGACGACATCATAAAGGTAACAGGAAGGCGGTAGATGTAGGCCGCTACCAACCGGGCGATATGGAAATCATTGGGCTCCCCGCTAGGTCGTAGGTAGGATCGGGCTAGGTCTCCACCTATCAGCAGTGGACGTCTTGTGGCTGAAATGATGATGATGATGAAACGGATTTTAAAATTGGAGACCACGTATCAGCATAATGTACGTAATACAGGACGTCCTCTGCTCGATGGACAGAGGAGTTTCGTAATAGGAGTTTTATAGATCGTTCCATCTACAAAGACGCGCCCCACCAATTTTTGGTCGAGGGAAGCGCGGGGTGCGTGGAATTTGATCCGAGCAATCCGAGCGTCATTATTGTAGTGTGCGTGTGCACTCATGGATAATTTAGCGTGTACCGATAACACTCAAACATTAGCGGAAGAATGGCGGGGCGCGTCTTCGTGGATGGCACGATCTATAACCACCAAGCAAAAAACGTTTTCAATAAAGATAACAGGCAAAAAGCAACGAAAAATACGCCTCCGTATAATTATTTCGGCAAATAGGTTTCGGCCACAATTTCCGTAAAACTCGTAAAGTCCATCTCGGTAAGTCAAATTGTTTTGCCAACTGATCTAGTATTATTACATTGAGTTATAATGTACTACGTACTAGCCGCTCGAATACCGGTGGTGACAAAAGTTCCCAGAAATTTTTGGTAGTAGATGACCGCTGGGGAGTTTTGTCACCAAGATTTCATAAGATTTTTAGTCTGTGTTTCTTTGTCAATTTGGGCGTGTTCCTTTACATGTATGGAGATTTGCTATTTTTGACATCAACGTTGGTAAA